CACACACACACACACACACACACACACACACACACACACACAGTCTAAGATAGAAGTGAAGGGCATTAGCTCCAAAACTAAGGGATTTCTTCTTGTTGAGAAAAATCTTTAGGTAGACATTTTCTCATGATAACAATTCTACTGAAGGTAGCTGATTAAAGATGCTATCTTAACTGCTAAATAGAAGAACAGTGTCTTGACCAGAACAAACAATGAAGATGGATGGCATGTGAAATATATTACTGGAATTACTGAAAAAAGACATTATGCTGGGAAAGGTGGTGGATCAGAGAAAGAGAAGACCACCCTCAATGAGATGGACTGGCATAGTGGCTGTAATAATGGGCTTGAGTATCAGAGATCATTAAGGATGATTTAAGATAGGATATAACAATAACAATTAGTACAAAGCTGAAATTAATTTATAAGAGGAGGCATAATAGTTATTCTCCTGCCAGCCAACATTTTATCTACTAAAATACAGTACCTGTAAGAGTTTAAAGGGAGCTCTGGGCCTAGTGGAAAGAGGCTGAGCTGCAATTTCAAAGGTATGTGGTTCGAATCCACCAGCTGCTCCGTGGGAAAAAGATGAGCCATCTCTCTTGTGCGATTAACTGCCTCTGAAAACCTGCCAGAGGGTCAACCGACTTGAAGGTATACAACAACAAGAGTTTAAAGGCAAGAAGCAGTGCTGCAATCCTGAAGGCATGTGGTTCAAATCCACCAGATGCTCTGCTGGAAAAGGGAGGGGAAATCTCCTCTTGTGCCAGTTGGATTCAATTCAATGGTACACAGCAAGGGGGTGGGGGGAGTGTTTAAAAGAGTCCTGGTGGCACAGTGTATGATGTTAATCAAAAGGTCAGCAGTTCAAATCGACCAGTCACTTCAACAAACAAAGATGGGTAGTCTCCTTCCATCAAGATTCATCGCATGTAAACCTTGCTAAGAGAGTAGCTGTGAGCCGGCTGGACTCCACTTGAAGGCAGTGGGCGGCAACAGTGGACGTTCGAGAACTCCTGAGGTAGTGTAGGCCAGCACTTAGTTACTAATCTGTAAGCGGGCAGTCTCTCTCTCTTAATGTCAGTATGAGAGGTGACGGCTCACTCTCCTGTATCTGACCAGTCACATCTCTGACAGCAATGACATAATCAGCCACTATGAGTAAAATATCACTTTTTAAAGTAGGTTTCCTAATAATGTTTAAATGGTAAAACTGTAGGTCAACCAATCAGTCTATAGATGCTTAGAAACAAAACAATACTTTGCCTCTAAAATTCAAGTCTCTGCGTACTTTCTTAGAGCAAAAGCCAATCGGTCTTTTTCAAAATTGTTTCTCCTGGCAAATTTTTTTTGCTGTCTGGCCAAGTTTTGTGTTAAAAATAAAGTACAGTGTTACAACATCCATCAACATTTAAAGTACTTAATGATCTATGAGAGAAAACATAGTGATTTTTTGGAAACAATCAAGGCAATCAAAGTTTTATTTATATAATCAGATCAGAAGAATGCAGCCTTGAGAAAGCAAAATTGAATTGTGTTTAGAGATATAAAAGTAATATTAAGCACTTAGGTAATATAAGAAAACAACTTGCTAAGAAGAGCTGTGAGTGGCAAGAATGACTTAAAACTATGCCAGAACCAAAGTCTGCTGCCTCCCCTTCCTGTCTGCGCAGCACTGGCCCCCTGCCTGCCCTTCAAACACCACTAGTGTGAGCATATTTAGAAGGGTTTCTACCTCACACTGATTCCACAAAATGCATCCAAAGTTACTAATATTTATTGTTAGCTTTCTTACATGTCTTGTCAAATATAATCAAGAAAATTTGAAAACATTTTACTACTGGAGATTTAAATGGGTACCTGAAGAAAAACTATAAATAATGCAGAGACTCTGATAATATTTATCAACCACAATACGTCATGGAATTTTGAGGGTTTTCTTTGTCTTTATCTTACCATCACTTATCAGTAGTTCTGGTGTTATACAGTTCTGATGAGAGAAAGATGGTCAATCTCCACTCAAAAATACTGAGATCTGGGCAATTGCCTCCCCAAAAGACTTAGAGCCTCAGAAACCCAGTGGAGGGTCACCAAGAGTTAGACTTGACAGCAGTGGCATCATTTACTGGGAACGATACCAGTAGGCATCTAAAAGGGGTGTGGCCTTACCTATTACGGATCCATATGACACACAGCACTGTGGTCCTTTCCACCTCCATCAGTCCAATTAATCTCACCCTAAGATCCCAATGCCTTGGTTAAATCCTTCAGTACACAGGCAGGCCTCCCACCTCCACCCCCTCCCCACAACAGTGTGGCTCCTCTGTAGACACGCAGAACAAAATTAACAGCCAGATTATAAATAACAAAGTAATTCAATCAATAAATATGGTGAAGTGGAACAATAATGAGTGTCAAATCTGTTTCCTTTAACATATAAAATGGACCTGATACCACTTAGCTATAAAGAGGAGTTTATGAAGAGTAAATGGGGTAAGACCAAATAATGCAGCATGTGACGTGTACAACGTCCAGGACTGACACTCAGTATATAGTTGAATCCTCAGCAGGCAATTTCCAGTCCTTCCAGTAGATGGGACGCACCAAGGCAAGCCAATAAAACATAGTAAATAGAAGGTTTCAAGTAGCCAGTAATCTGTCTCATGATCCAGTTATCTTGACGATAATCACTCGTCTATTTTTTACCATTTTTCTGTCATCTTCAAGCTCTTCTGTCTCCTGTTCCAGGCCAGCTTCTGCTGCACTGTCCACAGGGAGGCCTGCTTCAGTGGTTCTGCCGCTGGCCTGCTGGGTCTCTAAGTCACTGAATTACCTGACACCTGTCGACTGTGCCCTTTTCTTCTGGTTTTTGCCTGTATCTCATTTATACTTTATGTTGTTGTCAAGAGCCATGATGTCAATTATGACTCAGAGTGACTGCATTACACAAGCAGAACTGGCTTGCAGAGCTTCCCTGTCTGTACACTTTGCAGAAGCAGGTCATTTCTCTCATGAAGCTACTGCATGTGTTGGAATCATGTGGTTAGCAGCCCATCACTCAACTCTTCTTCCTTAAATCCTTAAATATGTGCTATGGTGCTGCTATGCACCTAAATCGGGCACATTTTTAGGCTCCATTACCCTCATGCTGGTAATTATGAATCACTCGCCACCAAAGTGCAGCCCTAGAATTGCTTCCTCCTCCTGCGATCCCTCTCTGAGAAGTTAAATGAGGACAAGTCACTCCGGTCAGCTTTCAGATACAGCAATGAGCCACAGTAAACACCCTTGGGGTCCTCCTGAGAATCCTAATGGGACCCACCTCAGGGACCAGGCAGGACTTACAAGGTGCCCTGCAGGCATCAAGATACAAATGATGACACAATGATGAGCTCCTGCGTGGACAGCGGCATCTGCAATTCTAAAAAGTGAGCTGTCCCTCAGATTCTTTCCACCTAATATTACCCTCTCCCTTGACAGTGTTGTCCTCTCTCATAGATCAAACAGGAAGAGGGAGGATGTACATGGATGGATCAAGGAGATACCATAACAGTAAAAACTCCAATCTGTCAAACACCGGCAACGGTCAAGAGAGTGACAGCCCACACAACTGATCACTTCAGTAATGAGGAAAAGCAACTGGATGGCCCTCGTCAACTCAGTAAACTCCTAAGACTCGCTCCAGCTTGTGCCCGGGAGATGGAAACAGAAGTCAGTCTTACTGGCTTGGTCCCACTCAACTACATTACTGAACAGAGAAGACTCTACTTGACTCTAAGACCAGCCTCACAGAAAAAGAGAAGACTTACTGTGTTTTTTAAGTTCTTCAATTTGCTCTTCCTTCAGATCTAACTGCTCTGTAAGTCTTGACGCTGAATCCAATGCAGCATTCGCTTCATCCAAACGTTCCTTTAAGGAAAGTTTATTAAAAAGAAAATGAGGGGGGAAGTATGTAATAAATGTAAAACAAGTAACATATTTTATATTGTTTACTGTATACTGTTACCTTTTTAAATAATCTAGTTTTAATAATTTCTTTCACAAGGTAAATTCAGGAGCTTTTCATCTTTTGCCTTCTTTTAGAACAGCTTCAGTAACAGATTGACCTTCCTTTTGTTGTTGTTGGGTACTTTTATCAGCTTCATACAGTTTTTCTATTACACAAAAACAATTTACACACAAATATACTCATATATAAATGTGTGTGTTCTATTTCCATTTCCATAAACTTTTGCCATTTACAATCAAAGCCTGGGGTCTATTTTTGATGTGTCATCTTGGCTAGGCTTGTCTTCAGTTACTCAAACCAACAATCCAGATGTTGCTGTGAAGGTAATTTTGTAAATGTAACCAGATTCCAAGAAGATCAGTTTCCCGGAATACTGGTGAACCTGACAAAATCAGTTGAAAGGTCTTAAAAGCAGGTCTGTGGATTCCTTGACAAGGAGAGACTCCTTGTGTGGATAGCAGCTGTAGCCCGGAAGTTCTATACTGTGATCTCTCTTTCCTTACCCTGGAGGATGGCAGCGTCAGTCTCTGCCCAGGACTTTCAGTCTAGCTCTGATCTTCTATCACAACTGCTAGTCTCACTCATTTCAGATCTGCTTAGCCAGCCCCTCAATTACATAAGCCAATTCTCGGCAATAAATCTAGTTGTGGTGTGTGTGTGTGTGTGTGTGTGTGTGTAAAATATATGAAGACACACATTTCTAATCCACCATTCACACCATGGGAGAAATAAGGGCAATCTCCTCCTGTATAATTTCTCCTCTGAAAACCTACCAGAGGATAAGTTATGAGCTGATCCCAACTTGACAGTACATAACAAAAACAACAAAAATGATACTATTTATCTAGAGGAAATATATCCATATATTGCATAATAAACATGCATTTATGTATTCTGATTCAGCTTCTCTAGTTGAACTCTGATACACAGAGGAATTGCAATGAATGTATCAAAGTTCAAAAAATGAAATGAGATATAAAGGAAATGTAAACATGCACATTTTCAAGTGACTTTTATAAAAACTTTGTTAACATTTCTATCCTAAAATTAGTGAAGCTTGAAATTGCACCAAAAGTTCAAAAACACAGTATCTAGACTTGGTTATTCTTGTGGTCTTCTCTTTTTTTTTTGTCTCACTGCCATGATGTGTTTTGGGGTTTTTTTTTCTCTCACTGACTTCATGTTTACCATTATTAAGTTCTTCTCAAGTGTTCCTGACTTTTTGGTTCCTGGGCTAAATGTGTGTCACATCTTGGAAATGAATAAGGAAAGTATTCGCTTAAAAAGCAGCTCTGGCTCCATTTCTGCAGGATGACAGTCGATACTCTAGACCCACTGGAAACAAAGCAGAGCTGGATAAAAGACATCTTTCTAAATGAATTCATGAGCCGCCAAGAAATTACACTCACATGGCCATAAACAAACTAAAAGATGCCTGACCTCGTTAGTAACTTGATAATGCCAAATGCTGACAAGGATACAAGACAAAATTGCATATGCAGTGCCCACAAGAGCAATTTAGTAAAATCTCTTTAAAAAGCTACTTGCCACCATCTAACTAAATGGACGAGCCTGGGTCTATACTGTGGCCATGTGATTCTAACCAGGATACACCCTGAAAGAGCCCCGTGCACAAGTGAACAGACACATAAACAAAAATGTTCACAACCCCACTTGCAGGATCACTACTGAAAGCATCCTTTAACAGCAAATGGTCAATTCACATGATGGGACAGCACAATGACAATAAAGAACTACCTACCTATACACACTAAGGTGGGCGACTCTCAGGAAGATGACATCAAGCAGAAACAAGCAAGTCACGAATAAAAATTATTCATTTATATACAATTCAAATTCTGTATCAAAAGAACTAAAAAATACGAACAAAGCATATACTGTTTAGAGATGTAAACTCATGGGATAAAACCATAAAGAAAAAGGAGCTGGCAAACATAACATCTGAAGTAATGGCTTCCTCTAAGGGGACAGGATGGGTTTAGGAATGGAGGGATGTGCCAGGAACGTCAAAGGGTTCCCTCTGAATTCAAACCTTAAGTCTCTCATACGAAGGGCTTAAAAAGGCTTATATATTTGCAATATTGCTATTCTTACATTTCATACATATTATCCAAACATTGTTTTGTAATCACTTAATATTTAATAGGGAGCTCTAGTTGTTGTGTCGCAATTCGAAAGGCACACAGTTTGAATCCACCAGTTGCTCAACAGGAGAAGGACAGGCAATCTTCTCCTATGCAATTTACTGACTCTGAAAACCCACTGGAGTGTCTGTTATGGGTCTGCTCCAACTCGAGGGCAAACAACAACTCAATGATAAACAGTAACAACAATACTTAATAAAAATTTTAAAACTGGATAGGAAATATGTTGTTGTTGTTAAGGGTTATCAAGTCAAGTGACCCTAAGAACAAAAGACTTCAACCCTGTTCTATAACTATCATCGATTCTTTATATTCATAGTGTTTCTAGAGGCATGTGGTTTAGGAAGTGGATGCCATTCCTGCTTCCAAACTTGAATCAATCTGGGAGCTCCACCAAACACTGCCCACGCTGGGTAACTATTATGGTGTCTGACACATCTATGGCACAGTGTTTAGCATCACAGCAACTCCTAGTTAGTTCAGTACAGCAAACAGACAGACCACTGCTATACCACTTAAAAGAATGTTCATCCCAAAATCAATTAACACTAGGCCTGAGGGCTCTACTGATTCTTAAACAGACACCCTCGCCAAGTGCTAGTTGACTATAAATCAGAGACCCTCAGTCCATAACTCATTGCTGGCTCAATCTGGCAAGTCTACTCAGCTGACACCAGCTTGTGGACAAAAAAAAGCCAAAAAACAACCAAACGTTCCATGTGTGACCCTAATCAAGAGGCAAGAAACCATCTTTCAGAGTTAAACCAATATACAGGAGCCTCCAAGCTGCAGACTGAGCACAGCACTACCACATGTTTCAATACAGGCATGCCCATCAAATGCTAGGAAGACAGGAAATACATCTTCCCCTATTTGGGACATTAGTATCTGACATGGTTTAGAGAGCAGTTAGTATTGCCTCGACGACAGTGTATAGCTCTTAAAGAAGCACCAGTGGCACAGTGTGTAGCACGTTGTGCTGGAACCAGAAGGTTAGCAATCTGTGAGCAGCTGTTCCTCAGAAGAACGACAGTCAGTCCTCCTGTTAAGGTTACAGCCTCACAAACCACAGGAGGGCCACCATGATGGGAATCAACTGGAAAGAAGGAGGTTCTGTACGTCTTATGGTTTTAGTCAAAACTGCACTGTGATCCTAAAGACACATGGTTCAAATCTACCAGCTGATGCAGAGCAAAATGATGGGCTATCTCCTCCCGTTTGATGAACTGCCTCTGAAACCCTGCCGGAGGGTCAGCTATGGGTTGGTTCCAACTCAACAGTACACAACAACATTGGCAGGTGAGTACATAACATTCTTTTCCACCAGCTACTGCCAGATGTGCTATCCCATCACGTGACTATACTAGTTATGACTTAAAAATGAAAAAAAAAAATTTTTAAAAGCAAATGGTAATTTTAATCCATGTGGAAATAATAGTGCTCAATATGCTTTGTTTAAAAAAGATGTTATGATTTTAGATTTGTTGAGGTCATTTTGGAGATATCTGCAATACTCATGTGAGCTTAAAAATTTAAAATGCTAGTTAAGACAGTAACAGATACATAGATCAATGGAATAGAATTGAGAACCCAGAAATCAGCCCATCTATTTATGGTCAACTGATTTTTGACAATGAGATAAAATCAGCTAGGTGGGGAAATGACAGCCTTTTCAACAAATGGTGTTGGCAAAATTGGAAAAATGCAAGATCCCCAACTCACTCCATATACAAAAACCAACTCAAGGTGGATCATGGACCTAGGACTAAAACCAAGGATTATAAACTTCATTAAAGAAAAGCTTGGAAGAACTTTAGTAGTCCTAATCCACAACATAGAGTCTTCCCAGTATTCTGAAAAATTTACAACCAGGAGAAGATAAAATAGATGAATGGGACCTTCTAAGAATAAAATCCTTATACGCACCCAGAAACTTCTCCAAGAGGGTAAAAAGGGAAGCCAGAGACTAGGAAAAAGTGTTTGGTAATGACATGTCAGATAAGGGGCTTATATCTAGAATTTATAAAATACTTGAGCACCACAAGATAAAGGTAAATAATCCAATAAAAAAATGGGCACAGGATATGAACAGACACTTCACCAAAGAAGACATTCAGATAGCCAATAAGCACATGAAAAAATGTTCAAAATCCCTAGCTCTGAGAGAGATGCAAATCAAGACAACTATGAGATATCATCCCACCCCAGTCAAACTAGCAAAATTTAACAGAACAGCAAGCAACAAATGCTGGCGAGGTTGTGGAGAAACTAGAACCCGTATTCACTGTTGGTGGGAGTGTAAATTGGTGCAACCACTGTGGAAAGCGGTGTGGCGCTTTCTCAAAAAGTTACAAATAGAGATACCATTTGACCCAGCAATTCCACT